GTTTTGGCACGTTTCCTTTCATTTTCCAGAACATTCTCTCATTCCAGAACATCATTATCTTCCTGCTGTCCATCTATGACACTTTAATGAATTCGATGACAATGAAATTTAGTCTGTGTGCATTGAAGTATGATTCCTCAAGTAACAAAGATGAAAATGAAGATTTGGTTTAAATATCTATAACATAAAACCTATTTATTTTACCCCCCTCCTTTGAAAACTTATCCATTGGGACATCATAAAGGGTCCTCTGTGTCTAATAACACCTGGAAATCCCCAAGTCTGTAAACTAAGCGTATTTTGGAGTGTATTAACTCTGCTAAAGGATCCCCTCAACCCAACCCCCTTCCCTGAGTCTCCTACCGCCCACACAGGGGCGGATCTCACTAGAAACCCTCAGCAAAATGAGAGCCCAGCAAACCAGTCATCGCTGCTGGCCCAGGGAAAACACCAGGTGCAGAGCTGAGCGCAGAATGTGATCTGGGAAAACACTTATAAATCAAACAGGTCCCAGGGAGTGAAAGTACAAGTTAGCAAAAAATAACAACAAAAGTGGCCATGAACTGTTAAATCAGATCAACCCAACAGTGAGCTAATTACCGTGGCCTATGCACAAAACCCAGTGTGAAGACTGAATGACAAGCTCAGAAAAAGCTGGAGAAGCAGTCTCACCTCCCACATCCGGTTACTCTTCATGTGTTAGGAGAATTGGCCCTTTAACTTTGATATATGTTTCACATGTTTTCTCAGTTCAAATATTTCTCCCAGTTGTCTTAGACTTTGTCATGATCATTTTTAATTTTCCTTGCAAATATATTTTATTTTATTTTTAGGTAGTTCAGACTACTAGTCTTTTGCTGCATCTGGATTTTGAGTTGTATTTAGAAAGCATCTCCTCCCACCTACGTCATAGAGAAAGTCACCCATATTTTCTCCTAACACAGGTGGGTTTCATTCTTGATCCATCCTATTGGAGTTTATTCTTGTATATGGCTTTCCAGTGGTCCTCAAAATATTTATTAAAAAGTCTATTTTTGTCCCAGTAATTGGAGATTCCACATACTAAGTTTCCACATATATTTGGGTCTATTCCTCGACTTTCTATCCTATTCCATTGGTTTAATTGTCTATCCATGTGCTAGTATCACACTGTTTTAATTATAGAGACTTTATACTACATTATAGTATCTGGTAGGTAGCTCTTTTCCCCGAGTATTTTCCCAACTATTCTTGCATGTTTTCTTTTGTTTCTGTGTACGAACTTTCGTATCAACTTGCCTAGTTCCAGAAAGAGGTTTATTAGTATTCTTGTTGGGATCACATTAATCTAGGAAGAACTGATATCTCTATGATACTTATGATACTGAGTCATCCTATCCAAGAACAGGGATTTCTTTCCATTTGTTCAAGTCTAGTTTTATGTCTTTTAAGAGTGTTTTAAAATTGTTTTCCTGTATAAAATCTGCACACTTATTTTTATGTTTACAACTAAATGTTGTATCTTTTTTTGTTCCTACATCCCATTGTTTTTTGAAGCCAAGCTGATCCAGGAACTTGATCTTGGGTTCTAAAAAAATAGTAACATAGTCTTTTCCACCCCACTTTGTTCTCCCTTTGCCCGGTCCACTAGTCTCTTTGGGGTGACTTGAGGGTATCTCTATTGACCACATTGGGAGAACAAGAAACAATAGTAGGCCGAGGGTTAAGACAAGATGACATAAGACAGTGGTGAATAAGGTCTTCAGGTCTTAGCAGAAAGAATTCACATCTGTCTCAGGGCAAAGATAAGAAGTTGCAGGACTCTCACATATTTAAAAATCTGAAATTGGATTTAACTGGTCTGCTTTTCTCCGTCAAGTAAACTCTATCAATCTTTGTGACATCTTGGACAATCTTCTAAATCCTCCTTCCTCTTCTTGGTCTGATATGATACAGTATACTCATGAGTAATAGTATTGAGTTGATAAATCCCTTCAATAAATTCTCCTTTCTTAATATTTCCCTAATACTTTCATGATCCAAACACCATGTGGCCACAAGAATCTCTGATAGATAGTTGTCTCCAAAGCTATCTGTAAAACCAGGTTGAAGGCAGGCCCCATGAATTTTGGTCCACATCTCAGACTGTACATGTATGTCAGATGTCAGATTCAGGTGAGACAGGCATCTCGGTTGGCTAGGTGGGGCCCTAGGTCAAACAAGTCTGCACATACAGGAAGCCACATCCACCTGAAGTCGGCCACACATCCTGTGACATGGAGCAAGTCAGCAATCGGTCCATGCCTGCTGCAAACCACTCATCAGAGGGACCACAAACTGAACATGCAGCTCCAGAACGAATCAGCCAAATGATCATGCATCCCAAGGTCCAGTCCCCAGCTGCTGCGACCACTTCCCCATCCAGAACCCCTTAAAGAACGCCCCCTCGACCCAGCTCAAGGCTGCTCTCTCTGCTTTCCGGGACAGCCCAGGCTCTCTGTAGCCTGGTCCTTTCCCTTATCTAAGTTTTGCTTAATTGTTTATAAAACTGTTTCATACTTTATTCCGTGGCTCTCACTTGACTTATTTCCTGTGGTTGCCCAAGGACCCACGTTCTCAGTCCCAGGGCCCAGGCAGGGTACCCAGACCAGCAACACAGGGAAATCTAGCTGGTTTTCTCAGGTAACTGGTATATGGTCCTGCTGAGACTAAGACCAATGGTTGGATTTTACTCCAGGCCAACCAGCTCTCCTTTCTCCCAATGCATCTCTTTTACTTTAATTCTTTAGACCCAAAGGGGATCGAGTGAGAAATCTAGACAGGCCATAGGAGATGCAATGTTGAAAAAGCAATTGGAAACCTAAAGCAATTGGAGACTCTAAGCCTTTGGCAAGAATGAGAAGACCCCTGCTGAGCTCTTTTCCTGTAACACCTCTTCTCCACTAGGTTCACTATTGAACTCCTAAACACCCTTCAAGGTCAAGCTTAACTGTTACCTTTGGTACTTAATTTTTCATGACACTCCACTGCCTCTCAAAGATGTAATTGCTCCCTCATCTGTTTCCCCACTAAATTTTAAGCATGCTTCTATTATCATTTTAATCATGTTTTATTGTAGTTCTCTCATTATTTGTTTATCTCTCTGTCTACCAGCTAGGCTTCAGATTCCTGGAGGGCAAAACTGTATTTCATTCATCTTGGTATCCTCAAGATCTAACAATGTAATTGAATGAAATTGACCAGAGAAAGAGATTTGAACTTTTTTTTCTATGCACCGTTTGAGATCTATTAGCCACAGCCTTAGCAGGAAGCAGTCCAGTGAGTATTACCCAGCTCAGATATATACCAAGAGACCCAAGACGGAACTCCTTGGTATAGGTACGCAATGTGCTCCAAAGCCTGTCTCCCCTTCAGCCTAATGACCAACTCTTAATTGGTAAAATGTGAATTGTTATGAGGATTAAATAAGATAATGTATCTAAGGTACTTATTAGTGGTATGGTAATTAGAATATTAGTAATTTTATGCTACACAGACTGATGCGAAAAATTGGATGACAAATAGTAGAGCTACTGAGTCAAAGGACTTCCCTTAATGAATTGCCATGTGACCCAACAATAGTTCCCCACCTTTTTTCCAGCACTACATGTAAGATAGATAGGTGATATCACATGTGGGACATATTCCCAGGGTCATTCCTATGGACTGGCATGTAGATAAGGATACGTGCAGATTACAGTCAATTTCAGGTGCATTAGCCAGAACTCCCTAGCAATTCTCCCTAGGAACTTTTTTCCCTATGTCTCAAGAAAGCATGGAATTTCTGTGAGTAAAAATGGCATAATTACGAAAACAACAAATCTGCTCTTATTAGCTGATTTTTTAATGCACAAAACTCAGTTCTTCATTATTATTAATAAATTACTCCAGCATACCTCTGTTTTGACACCCAGTGTTTTGTGAAGCCCAGTTGCTAAGATCCATTATTATAGATCCTGAGGGCTAAGCTTGACCATTGTCACACCATGAGATGTTTGAAAACTCTTGTATTAACCATAATAATTATGAAAAGTGGGCTCTGTCAAATACGCTGTGAGAATATTCTCATGGAGAGTCATGACACAGAATGAAGCTGCACTGTCCCGTAAAGATGTTTTCAAGCTCAGGGTCCTGACAGGAAAGAGATGGCAAATGCAAAAGGGAGATTAAAGAGAGTTTGATGAAGGCACTGTTTACAAGGGCTTGGGCGGGTTTAAGGAAAACCAACAAGGGATGGTAAAGCACCTAGGGACTCGCACCCACAGGAAGTAGCTACGTAAGGAATCAGCCATTGGAACCCAGGGAGAGCTGTAGCTATAGGAAGAGGCTGCCTGCAAGATGCAGCTGCTCACAAGCCCTGGCCCAGCAGGCAGATGAGCCAGGGGAGGAAACACTTCAAGGTCTTTCCCCTCCTCCTGTCTGTGCCTTCCATTGGCCAAACCAGACCAGATTCGGAAGGCACAGGCCGTAGGTGCAGCCAGGTCAGTCTTCTTGGACAGAGAGCAGGCTGAGGGATGCAAAGTAGATCTGGAGGGACAAATGGAAAACCTCTAGCACAGATGTCAACTAGCTCTTTCCTTCTTGATTCTGCATTGTGATTTCTTGCCTATTTTTTAGATGTACTGAACAAGATTTATTTTCTATGTGATCTAAAAGAGAAAGCACTTTTTTATCAGCAAAACTAGAAACAACTAGACTCACAAGTGTGCAGCTAAACCCTTGAAATAAACGGCTTCATCTCAAACCTAAATAAAAAGAAAGATCTCAGTCATGCCTTTCTCAGGCCATTTTAATTAACTTTATCGGAAAAGTTCTAAATGTCTAACTCTCTTTATCTTTGTTTCCAGATTTTCAATTGGCCAGAAGGTAAAGATAAAACTTAACAGCATTTACACTGAAGGGGAGAGGAAAAAACTGAAAAAGAACAGAAATATTATAAGGGGATTTTTTTCACCCTTTTCTTTTTTAATTCTTGTACTTACTTGATAGGATTTTGATGGTTGACAGAACTCACAGTCCTGTGCCTTCACTCTGATGATGCATCTCCTGCTCCAGCTGGAATCCTTCTCAGGAAAACGAGCAGAGGTCAGGCTGACCCTTCTTGCTGGGCAGGTGGGGCCTCCATCTTCAGTTCAAGCTACCTTAGCTGGAAGTTTCGAGAGGACACCAAATATTTATTCTGTTTAATATTACATTTTTATTGATTGTTAAAATAATAATATATATGTGTTAATTATATATAATTTGGAAAATACAAAAATATGTAAAAGAGAAAGTAGAAGCCTTGCATATCCTTATCTAACAGTGGCAACTATTGTTAACATTTTATTATTTCCTCTTTCACTCTTTTTCTACACATAGATTTCCCAGATAGGCATTATATATCATGTGCAGTTTTGCATCCACCTTTATTATAATGAACATTATAGAACAATATTCCCCACGTCATTAGCTAAACTTCAAAATAATAAAATTTAAAGACCAAGTAACATTTTATATGATAGTGTCTTAGTCCATTTTGGTTGCTATAACTATACCATAGATTAGGTGGCTTAAACAACAAATATCTATTTATCACAGTTCTGGAGGCTGGAAGTCCAAGATCGGGATAGCAGCATGGCTGGGTTCCGGTAAAGACCTTCTTCATGGTTTACAGACTGCTGTCTTCTTTTTGTAGCCTCACATGCTGGGGAGAGAGAAAGCTAACTCTCTTCCTCTACTTATAAGGGCACTAATTGCATCTTGGGGGCTCCATCCTCATGACCTAATTACCTCCCAAAGGTCCCATCTCTTGATACCATTCTATTGAGGGTTAGAATTTCAACGTATGAATTGGGTAGGGGGAGGCACACAAACATGCAGTTCATAACAGATGATTATACCCCAATGTATTCAATTATTCCTCTGTTATTGAACATTTAGGTTTTTCCAATTTTCCTTATTATGAATAAGGTTGCAGTGGACATCTTCATTCATAAATTTTCTAAATCTATACTAAATTTCTTAGAACAAATTTCCTGAAACAGAGTTATGACTTTAAAGTTTCACTTTAGATCTTGCCAAATTGCTATCCGAAAGACTATACTAATCTACATTCCCACCCACAGGGCACAGGAGTGCCCACATTTATAGAATCTGGCTGACACTGAGTATTGGAATTTACTTTTATCTCTGTCAATGGCATTTTATTATTGTTTTAGCTTACATATCTTTGACATATCAGTGAAGGTGAACATTTTTTCACACATTGTAGGCCATTTAACTTCCTTCTTTGTGAATTGTCTGTTCCTGAAGTTTGGCAGCTAAACGTTCTTCCAAACTTTTGTTCCTCTCCTGAGGATCACAAAACTTTGTACAACTTTATTCCAATTCATTGAGTGTTTTCAGATGGTTGGTTGCTTTTAACAGAGCGAGCTGATTCCAAAAATGTCATTTCATTTTGTTTTTTGACAGAGAAAGGCTATATGTTCAGTTGAATGCCGCCCGGACGGTTTTCCAAAACCATAACTAAAGTTATCTTAATTGTCTCTCTGAATATATTAAAGGACACAGTAGCCTACAGTTTTCAGTTCATAAATCCAAACCTCTTAGAAACACGTTTCTTTTGTGGGCCTCTCTAGGCCTAATTAGGACTATATGATCCTTTTTAGGTACTGAGAAGAGTGAGAAAAAAAACAGTTTGATCGAGCATAGGCCTTTTGACATGAGTTTTCAACTTGATTTGAAGCCCAGAAATGTTACTACAAATGTGTTCTTGAGTGCCTAAGCGCTTTTCTACTGTTTCTATGGTAGGTGATGATGAGATGATTTCCATGCTTGGGCACACCTTGCTGTGGCTACTGGAAGTTAGTGATCCCAAAGGAGGGACCGAGAAAGCCGATGGGAGTGAAGTGTATAAAATCGTTTTCCATTACAAGTTGACCAGTAGTAGCAAGTAGAATTTGTTCAAGGCTTTCCATTTTACAAAGCGTGTTCTCATACATAATCTCATTTGATACTCACAACAACCACATGGGGGTTTGATACCATTACCCTTGTTGTGCAAGGATAGCTGAATGATTTGCTCAGAGTCACTGAGGTAACAAGTGTCCATCAGCGCTCAAACTCCTGGCTTCTGTCTGTAAATGTGTTTCCAACTATATTCTCCTGCCATGCTGGTACATGGTTTACTGAGCACCCTTTAAAAATGTAACAGGGTCATGAAGCCAGAATAGAAAAAAGAACAACAAAACACACATGTACCCACACACACAAGGTACAACCCTGGTCACCATCTTACTCAATAGTCTGGACAGAAAAAATAAGAGAGATTTGTGCAATCTTTTCTGAGAAGTTACATTCTTAGTCTTTGCATATGCTCCTCATTTTATGCTTATATAATCATATTATCTCTGTGTCCTGTTGATGACTTTGACATTTCTTTCCTCGTCTGTCAATCCACCTTGACCTTTTACAGTGGTACGGTCATTGTTGACTCTACAGAACGATGTAGGATTTGCTTAGGCCAGAGCATGCAGGAAGACGGCTGGATGAGAAAACCTGGGGAACCGCGTTGCAGTGGAACGTGCCACTTCTGTAAAAGTCTACTATCCCTTCTCATCAGGATCACATTTGCCAAATTTGAGGAATTTCTGAGGCTGAAAACAAATGTAAAAGGATATTTTTGCTCGACTTTGAAGGTGGCCCCAATGGTGAATTTGGGAATTCTCTCTCACAACTTTACCATTTTCACTGGGGATTTGGATGCTTGATGGTAAATGAAGATGGGTGACATTTTTTTCTTAACAAAAATGTATGAGCCTACACAGATTTCCTAAGCATGGTTGCACTTCCTGGGAGAAAAGGAATTTAGACTCTAAAGCCTGTTTTCATTACTAGGAAGATGCAAAACAATGGACTGTTTTGCATTGAACATCAGAGTCTTCAACAAAACCTAAGTGATCGGAGGCCTCTGAATAAGCTGATACTGAAACCCACCACAGCCACCCAGGAATGAGCATTTGCCCCTGGGTAATCGTCCTCATGTGTGTAATTATTGAGAGTGGTAACACTTTGGGGTCCAGGTAGCTTTCCCCTGGTTACCACTTGGCTGAGCATAATATAAGAGTGAGAGTCTTGTTACTACCATTTTTAAAGGGACTGACAAAGTACTCAGTGCTGAGATGGTCAAAGAAGCACAGCTCGATCTCAAGTAGAAATGAGATGGAAATTTGGGCAGCTCTGTTGTGGATGTGGGATTGCACGAATCCCTCTCACTCCTCCTCCTATACTTTCTGCCCTGGTGAACAGCATCACCACCCTTCTAGAAAAGCCTCTGAGATGATGGGAGAATGGGGACTGGAACCTAGACTGTTATTCCTGTGCTCGTTCCATGTCATCCCACTGTCTCCCACCAACAAGTGAAGTTTTTATCAGCCATGAGCAAAATATTTGCAAAATAGAGTCTGTAGAATTTGGATCTCTCAAGTCCCATGATTCAATAAAAAGAAAAATATCTTTTCTTGAGGAAGGCATTTCTCCCCCTTCAAACAGTAAGATCTACATATTAACTCACACCTCCCCATCTTTTAATCTACAGCTTGGAAGTCAGGCCTCATCGCAACATGTAGGGACATACATGTAAAACTCATACCACCTTAATGGAACATTCATTGGTCTAGAAGGTAAGACAGAGAGAAGAGGCATTCTCCAACCTACAAGAGTCCAACATGTAAGCAAAATGTCTTCAAAGAATTATGCAGCTCAAATGCAATCCCATCAAAGCAGGCCATTTTCAAGTACGTGATGAGGGTCAAGTACTACCTGGGGATAGCATTGGATATTTTATTTGGAAGTGCTATTCAGTTAACTTTTTATCCATTTCCCATTCTTCCTAACATTTAAAGATAAAATAACCTTTATAAGCAAATTAAAAATTTTTTCAAATTTAAAAATTGCTCTCCAGATATTCAAAAGCAACCAACACACACATGGTAATTAAAAAATTACACAGAATTGATGTCTGTCTTTAAGCTACCATTGGGTAGTTTCAAACTCTTACAAAGATAATGAACAAAGAACTATGAAATTTAGATTTACGTTCACACCACATTTTTATTAGCAACAAGTTATGAGACTGGTTATGTTCTAGGTTCATACATCTGTCTTTACTGAGTAACAGAGCTTGCACTAGACTTTTCAATTAGGTGACTTGATTAATTCCACTTCCATTCCCCATTTTTTAAGCCAGTTTGACTTAAGTTTCTGACACTTGCATGCTATTGAGCTCTGATTAATACAGTATCTCAGAAAATGTGTTGACCAAGAAAATGAGAAAATCAGTCTCTTTTGATTACCTATTGAGTAACTTTTATAACTATTCAATGGATATACCAACCTTATGATTACAATTTTCTTAAGTAATTCTAGTCATAGGATTTTTAAGGTTAAAAAAACCCTTATTCTATACATTTATTTATCATGATTATACTCCTTTTTCTGAATAAAATATTTATGGGGAGAAAAGGGAATGGAGAGGACCATCTCTATCAATTCAAAAAGTGTGGTTATTTGATATCTTGGGAACTGTCGCTCCCCTCATCCCCATTTTTAATTTGTAAAAGTTGGTGCCTGTACTAAAACATAAAGCTTTTCTCGCTCCCCCCAATTTCATTTCCATCCTGTTAATCCATAATCAAATGGCTCCACTAACACTTTGCTTCATCCAACAGAGAGAAAAGATACATTTAAATATAGCACACCTCTGCATATTTTTAAAAATTCTGAATAACTGTCATGAGTAATGCAACATTCCAACTTAATGACTCAGGCTGTAAACAAAACCACAACTAACTAATAAACATGTTTCAAAGATTCATTAGCAAGTCAGTTATAAGAAACTCAGAACATACTTTCCTAAAGTCATGATCTTATTTTTGGTGGATAGATTTTTAGGCCACTCCCCTAAGACGCCTTTGCCCATAGGGAAGTGTACTTTAGCATGACAAGTGGCTCCCAGTCTTTCAGAGGCCCAAAAGCCAAGATCCTGGGCCCCCAAGTATAGTAGTTAAAATCCGAGTTCCATCGTTAATCAGATGGGTGACCTCAGTTTATTTTCCTGGAAAATGGATATATTGATACCTTTTTTTTGGGATACCATTTTTTAAG